AGCCAGGGACACCACAGAAATGGACGCTAGTCTGCTACTTGAATATTCAAACGTTCAGCTTGTATATATTATTCTGTCACCATCTGCAATAAATATTCAGCTGCACAATCCACTGTTATCTCTTCACTCCCCCATTTTGATAACCTACCTTTGAATATCAATTTTCCCTGGTTACACAGACCTCAGCAGCTCTTTTCCTCTCTTCCAGTAACCTCATTTCTTTTTCTTGGTGTTCATTTTTTCCCTATAGCTAAAAGTTCACATGAATAACTTTTTATGTCTTACTTATCATAATCCCCCCCATCTTCTGTTAGGGAAGTTTTGAGGACAATTAATATGGGGACAGTTTGTCAAGAGAGCGTATTTGAGCCTTGCCTCTTAACTAAACTGCATGCACAGACCAGAGATGTCCTGGTTATTTTTATTCTAGCTACTATGCTTGATTCTTCACAGGATGTGGTGGACCACTGCAGAAGACATTCTAATGAAGAAACAGTGATTTCAGACAAAAATTAAGCAGAGGTTAAACACAGATCTTCATGGCAGAGACCTGTAAGTTAGCATGGCCGATGACTATATAACCTGAGCACATACTGTGGCACTAGTGTGTGCTGCCTTTAATGCCACCTGAATGTACTGTTGTGAGAGCTCTCTCCTGTGCAGATGTGCAAAAGTGTAATGCTCTCAGCAAACCTTGGCATAACATTTACAAAGCTCAGTATTGCACAGGTTTGTTCACTTCAAAAAAGACTATAAATACTATAAAAACAAACACCCCATAACTATTTACTAAATTAGTTTTAAGTAATATTTCATTAACTGCCTTAACAAGGGTGATTCTCCCCCTCTACTCCACTCTCGTAAGGCCCCACCTGATGTACTGCATCCAGTTCTGGAGCCCCCAACACAAGAGAGACCTGGACCTGTTAGAACAAGTCCAGAGGAGGCCACCAGGATGATCCGAGGGCTGGAGCACCTCTCCTATGAGGACAGGCTGAAAGAGTTGGGACTGTTCAGCCTGGAAAAGAGAAGGCTCCGGGGAGACCTTATAGTGGTCTCCCAGTACCTGAAGGGGCTACAAGAAAGCTGGGGAGGGACTTTTCCTAAGGGCAGGCAGTGAT